TTTTTTATTTTTATTTTTCACTTTTTTTTCCATGTGTACACATGTGTAACACATATTAAATATGTAAGGTCATATCTACGTGGGTTTGATTACAGAAACTAATAAAGTATTCTCTAAATAATGAAAAAAAAGAATAAGATAAAACTATAAGAGCAAGAAGCAATTTAAATATGTTAAGGGACCATTTTCATCTCCAGAATTAAGGATTATTTTAATATTACATCATTGCCTTTTCTTTTACTTTCCTTTTTAGTTTTATTTTAGGATTCCCTATTTTTAATGTTCATACAGAGATTTCTTTAACTGAAATACCAAATAGTTTCTCTGGCGTGAAAAACTATAATAGTACACAGGATCCTAATGAGATAATTAATAATGTGAAATAGGAAGTAAAGGGCTAAAGGTGTAGGGAAAGTGGGAAGGGGGGGAAAGGTAATAAGGAAGAGGAAAAAAATATGAGTAACTGAAAAAAAGGAAATAAAGTGTTTGTAAATGGGGAAGGGAGCAGGGGGTGAAGGGAGGGCAGGGACAAGGGGAAAAAATGAGAATCAAGACCTATTGTGTAAAGGTACAGAATCCCAATGATGAATGTAACTGTATTGTATACCTAGATTGTACCAATAAACTCAATAAAAAGAGAAATCGACCTTAAAAAAAAAAAAAAAAAAAGCCACAGCAGTCTAACTGCAAAACTTGAGGGAAACGCTGGAAGAAGAAGACCTCCTGGCTTTAGAACTTTAGTACCTTTTTACTCTGGATCTCCTGGATACTGTCAACACCTCACCCCGATTACTATGCTCCCTAAAATGGGACTTTTCTGATACTTCAACTCAGGTATGCTTTGGAATGTACAGCAACAAATAAAAGGACTATAAAAAGCATTCTGACAGTAGGTGCTACAATTGGGCCAAACTCAGAATCCAACAGATTTAAGACATGTTTCTTAAAATAAATAAGTATTCTGTTCTGCAGCTTTAAAAACATATATTCTGTAAAATTAAATGCTTCTGTGGAGAAAATACAGTTTTTAGTGCTTTTCATTTAACCTATTCTTTATATTCAAAATGTCTCATGAAATCTACACACAACTTAATTGTAAAGAAACAGTACATAGAAAAGAGATAATGACATAGGAAAAATAAAGCTTTAGAATTCAACATATAAGAAAACAATATTTTGCCCAGGGTTAGTTTTAGATTAGATCAATAAATATTTACTGGTATTTATACAGCCTGCTAAATCTATACATGCTCTGCAATTACCTCAATTTTTAGTTTGACAGCCAAATGAAAAAAGGTTTCTAAAAATCATGGCCAAATGATTTAAGAAATGCAAATTGGTTTCAACTATCTACACACTATTTTCACCCTATTTCCAGGTAAAACAAAACCAGCCATATAAAGCACCTCAAAAGATGAAGAAAGCTGTTTATGAAGGCTATATTCACTTGTGATTAAAAAAATATATAGTAAAAAATAAGAACAGAAACAAAACCTCTATTAAAAGCCTATAATAAGCCTAACTCCTAATGAAAAAATATTAGTTTGCTTTTTTTTGGTACCAGGGACTGAACTTAGGACCTTACACTTGCAAGGTAGGCACAGTGCCACTGAGCTAAGTCCCCAGCCCAGTTAACTTTCTTTTTAAATCTGAAATGAGATTAAAAAAAACAAAAAACAACATCCATTATCATTTCTTCTATTCAACAATATATTGCAGATCCCAGCCAGTATTAAGAGAGTAAGGGTTTAAAAGAAATTTAAAGGAAGTAACAAACCTATTTTCCCATCAATATGACTAATTACCCACAAAACCCAAAAATTTTAGAATACATAAGGAGTTTGGCAAGTTAACTGAAATTATTATTAATATAAGAACTTCCTTCCTCACAAGTTAAAAGCAGAAAAAATAATTTTTCCCTCACAGATACAATTTGCAGTAACAAAAAGTAGTACAAGTAACATGGAATAAATCTAACAAAAGCTATGTAACATTTGCATAGAAGAAAGTTGTAACACCTTAAACATTTATGTGAAAAATCAAAAACTGAAGAACAGTCAAAAGCTCAGGAAATCAAGTAGAACATCTTACAAAATCAGATATCACCATGCAAAATAAAACTATAATAATTAAGACAGAAAGTGACTTATCAGATGACAAACTGGTAAATGAAAGAGAACACAATGCCCAAAAGGTGAATACATGGCCCAGCAACAAAGATACTAAAAAGTAGGTAAACAGTAAGAGACTACGCTCTGGACTATCAAGGAAAGAATAAATGGGGCTGGGATAGCTGATCATTCATATAGAAAAAAAATCTCATCCTACACCATACATTAAAATCCAATTCCTGTGGCATCATAATATAAACTTTGAGGGCAAAACTCAAATTTTTAGAAGGAAATACAGAATGCCCCTTTATGATCCCAATGTAGGGAAAAAGTGCTTGATTTAAATGATGCAAGAAGCATTAATTACAAATGAAAGGGTGTATCTGATCAAACTAACACAAGAACTGTTGCTTTTCAAGACACTTTAATAAAACTGAACATAAAAACAGTTAAGCTATAATAAGATACTGGCTGGCAACACACGTATCGCAGAAAGAATCAGTATCTATTATACAAAAGAACTGCAAAATTCAGAATAAGACGATGAAGATTTTTAAAACAGACTAGTTCTAAATAGACCACCTCAAACACACGTGCACGGCAAAAAAAGGAAAACCTTCAACACTGGCACTTATCCAAAACATACAAAATATTTTTTACATGCTTTAGATTAATTAAAAAGTACAAAATCTGATAATATCAAGTGTTGACATCAGTATGTATAAATAGGTGTTCTCATTCACACAGTATGAGAATTCTAAACTATTACATTCACTACTGAATGTATTTAGCATTATTTTAATAATTGAAAATATTACACAACCTGGACTCTAACAACTCTACTCTCAGGCATATACCCAGAGAAACTCCTGTACATGAATGTCACCAGAAATGACTGTACAAGCATGTACTATGCAGCCTTCCTGTTAGAGGGGAAATATTCACTGAATGTGGATAAAGGAACTTGTTCACCCAATGAAAAGCTATAGAGCAATGAAAAAGTTACAGGCATTTGTAAGAATTAGGATGAGCCATGAAACAATACACTGAATGAAGTCTTAAAAAACTAAAGATTTTTTAATATAGTTCAAAAAATAGTAAAACTAAAACATATTCAGAGATATACAAATGTGATTTTTTAAAGCTATAAAAGTGACAAACAAAATAAAGAGCACTTTTTGAGGGAGGAAGGGAGAAGTACTTACAGGAAAGGAGCAAAGTAGATTCCTAGTTCTTGAATTAATGGTGAGTTCACAGACTCACCTAATGCTTATTAATACTTTATAATGCATACATGTGCTTCATATATTTGTATTTATCAAGTACTAGATAATTTTTAAGATTTAACACAAAGTAAATAAGCATTTAAAGGCTACCAGAACTTAGGTCACACTCCAGTGTTTGGGAGGGCAGGACTAGGAACACAGAAGACGAATTCAAATGAAAACAAAGCCTTGAGGTTTTTTTTGTTTGTTTTGGTTTTTGGTTTTTGAGACAGGGTCTCACTGTGTAGTTCAGTCTGGCCTTGAATTCACTATGTAGCCCAGGCTGGCTGAGAATCTGCAGCAATCTTCCTGCCTCAGCCTCCCAGGTGAGCCACTACAACCAGCAGCCTTGAAGTTCTCTACTTGCCGTTCTTTTCTGGAAATTTTTCTCCCTTTAAACTGTTCTATATGAAGAGCAAGAGAATCATCTGATGAGGTATGTTGAAGAGTGGCTGAGGTAAAAGTCAGTTAAGTCCTAATGTGTCATGTTTATGGTGACACCACAGAGTAGGTATAATCAAAAACTACAGTTAATAAATTTTTAAATTTTATTACAAAAGACATGGTACCAGCCTACAGCCATACCATTCTGAATGTGCCTGATCTCAGAAGTTAAGGAGACCTGGGCCTGGTTAGTACGTGGATTTGAAGACATGGTGCCATTAATCACCGCTACAGTAATGGCCCTCTTTTTTAACAAACTTATCCCAGCACTGTGGCCACTTCCTGAAGCAGTTCTGGAAGTCCCCTTTCATGAGTGTCTTTGGTTGCACTGTCAAAGCTGCCTGGATATCCTGAATAAATTCAAAATTATGGTCATTTTGACACAGAGGAAGAGCCAAAAGTGGCACAGGGCCAGATCCGGTGAATAAGGTAGATGAGGACACATCATCATGTTTCTATGACCCTGCCCTTCTTAAGATAGGATGTTGAACAGCATTCATCCTATTTTTTGATCACAACTCAAAAGACACTTACGAAAGAGAACTTTAGGAACTGCTTCAGAAAGTGGCAATAATAATGGGATGAGTGTGTTTGAAGTGATGAGAAGTTCTTGAGGGTAATTAATGGCAATGTGCCTTGCATGGTAATACACTCTTAAAAATTTTAAACACATACTGTATTTTTTAACAGGCTATGTATGTTCTCCACCCATTAAAGAAACTGATAAACTTGGTAGGTGCAGTGATACATACCAGTAATCCCAGCTACTGGGGAGAGGCTGAGAGAGGAGAACTCAAAAACCCAGCAAGATTTTGTCTCAAAATAAAAACTAAAGAAGGGCTGGGGATATAGTTCAGTGGTAGAGTGTCCATGGTCCAAAACCAAGTAGGTAAGGAGAGAAAGCGGGAGAAGAGAGGAGGAGAATGGGAGAAAGGCAGGCAGGAAGGAGGAAGAGAAAGAGAAATGGGGTGGGGGAAAGGGTGGATAAAGAGAAAGAGGCAGAGACAGAGACAGACAGAATAAATGTGTTCCTCTTTCAAAATGATGCCTAAATATACTTAGCATAAGCTTCTGAGATAAACTTTGCCTTTTTCCAATTAGAGTATAATAAAGACCCTCTTTTTTATTACAAAAGAACCAAAAGTTTTCTATTAACTGAAATCAAAATTCACACACATACACATTCACGAGTTATTCTTTTCATGAAGACCAAGGCATATCCTTTGACTACAGCTCACAGCTACAGCATTTCCACCCAACAAAGTTCAATACTTCTGCAAAATTTACTAGGAAAAAAAAAAAAAGAATGTTAGAAAAGTTAAAACTGTAAAAGCTTACACGATACAAATTTCAATTCTTTGCAGATTTCCAACAATCAGTTTATAACTAGTGCTGGCCTGAGAAATGCACCGAGCAGGGTAACACAAATAAAGCATGGGATCTGAAGCCAGACTGTCAGGCTCAGCCTAGGACACATGAACCTGTCTACCTTTGTTTGCTCTTCTATACAGAGGCAATAAAAGAAGTACCTAACACTCAGTTACTGTGAGGATTAAATAAACAAATGTATGTTTAGCATTTAAAACAGTCCCTTATACATGAGCTCTACATAAATATAATTAGATAGTATTATCGTCGTACAAATCATACTCATACATTTTTTCCCTTCATTTTGTCTTTTTAAAATGCAGTGAGGAATGAGGATCCTGGAAATACAGAATGCCTTGCAGTAGTTGCTAGCTTCTCCACGGTTTCACATCCTGAGCAGTGGCCCATCACACCACTTCCTTCAGAGCCTGTCAGTGTGTGGTCACTGCGCACCTGTTGTTCAGTACATGTGAAGACTCCACGGCACATAGGTTATGTCACTGCCTTGTCTCACTGCAATAAACTGATGTGACATTTTACAGAAATGGATAAAAAAGAGGGAATTTTTTTAAAAACCATGACAAAGGATCTGTTGGCAAAGATGCAAATGCAGTAAAAAGACAAAAGTGGTAAAGCCGGAAGTGAAATTCTAATTAAACATAAATGGAATTACAGAAGAAAGCTGTGAGAATGTCAACACTGCCATCATCAGAGAAACTAAAGGAATTTTGTAAAGGTAAATTTATCAACATAAATGATGGAAGAAGTTACGATGAAAAGGATGAAGATGTCCCAAAGAAAGTCACGCTAGCAAAACAAACAAAAACAAAGTTTGTATTAAAAGAATTATCTAATGTATTTCATAACACTGAAAGTTCAATGGATAAAATGTAGGTATAAACTTAATGGATAAAATGTTGGAATAATCACAATTTTAAAATAAACTATTTGGCAGAGGTCTAGAAAAAAGTTACACAATAGGTAAAAAGAAAGCAAGCACTGTTTAAACTATTGGTAAGTTTTTTACAAAGAAATTCACAATTCTTAATGTTAAATTACACTGTACTAGTATTAGTTTTACTACTACATTCACTATGCTATGCATTTGTAACTAACAAGAGAGTCTTCAGTTTCAACAAAAATGTTTAATGATTACAAAACTGCACAGGTGTTTTTACAGTGTACAGCAAAAAGTCAGGACTTCACAAAGCACTCAGAATCAAATAAGGAGAGAAGTAATTCAATTTAAAGACAGGTAAAAGAGTTTAACATACAATTCACCAAAGATAAATGTATACAAATAAGCATTGAGAAAGATGTTCAGTATCATCAACCATTACAGAAATGCAAATTGAAAACATACTAGATTCGCTTTAAATTTTTTTTCTAATTTTAAATAACTCTATCAAGTGCTGATGAAGATATAGAGCAACTAGAATTCCACAATTTGTGGAAATACAAACCAGTTTAAAAAGTCTAGCAGTTTCTTCAAAAGTTAAATACACACCCACGTAAGACACAGTCCAGGAATTTATCCATGAAAAATGAAAGCACATGTCCATACAAAGAGTCACATGCCAATTCTCATAGCAACTTTACTTGCTAGTGACAACCTCAAACTGGAAACCACTCAAATGTCACCAACCGTGAATGCACAAGCCATGATACATCCATACACTGAAATATACTCAGCAATACAAGGAACAATCTACCGATATACCCAACACATGTCTGAATCTCAAAGTCATTACAGAGTTAAAGAAGCTAAATTTAAAAGGACATACACTGGGTCCAGGTATTTAGCTCAGGGTGCTGCCTGCCTTGCAAGCTCCAGGTCCTGATTTCGATCCCCATTACCAAAATGGGGGGGTATATATATTGTATGAGCTCTCATATAAGATTCTAGGAGATGCAAACTAATAATGACAGAAAATGAGTAAGTAGTTATCTAAGGTCTAGGGCCAGGTGGAATGGGTGGATTTCAAAGAGTAAGGAGAAAACTGTGGTGGGGGGTGATAAGTTCTTTGTCTTGATTATAGAATGGTTTCATGGGTGATTACCTATATCTCAGCTCATCACATTCTACATTTTTCTTACGTGATATCTGACATTTGTCATTCAGACACTGATAAAGCTGTAGTAAAATTCATCCAGCGGCTTGGCATGGCGGTGCACACCTGTCTTCCCAACACTCCTGAGGTTGAGCCTGGAAGATCACATCATAGCTAGGCCCTGTCTCAAAACACAAAACAGGCAAACAAAAACTCATCCATGTACTATCTGCATCTGAATCTGCTAAAAATATGGATTCCCAGGCTTGCCATAAAATCAACTAAATTCTGAGAGCTGATCCTGAGAAGCTAGATTTTCTAGATCCAGGTGACTGTGACATATACTAACACTCTGTAATCCAAAGGATCTTACGTCTAGAGCCTCTAAAGCATGATCACTCCATTTTCTACAAACACGCTTGTAGAGCTGTAGTCCATCAATTATTCCTGTAACACCAACCCTTATTATTTAGTGCTGGATGATTTATCTTGTTAATACCTAAGCCACCATGGTCCTGGTAAGTATTTAAAGCATAAGCCTTACATGAAGTCCATTAATTTCACAGCTTGAGAATTTATAGACATCTTGACTCTTACATTCACATTTATATTTTAATACTGAAATTTGGTCTACAATCTCTGAAGTAGTTCAATAAAAATAAGCATTAAAGAATTTTAAAGCTGAAAGCAAAGGTTTAAAATCATACTCTATCCCAATTCCATTTCCAAATGAGAAAGGTGAAATCCAGAAAGGTTAAATTTCAACAATCAGTACAATACATACAAATATTTTAACCTACTTTCTCCTGAAATACAAGTCTTTTTTTTTCAACTTTCTTCTCCTAAAAGGGCTTATCTTCCATGCTATTTCTCCTAGATTCTTATTCACTGTCCTTTCTCTAACTTAGGTTTTTTTATGTTCTCATTCTTAACCCCTGCAATAATCTTGTAAATGGCTAATCTACTTTTAGTTCTCTTCCCTCATTCTATTTTCATTATACAAACTCAGTAGCTAGTATCAGTCAAATATTTGCTTTACCTTATTATGTCCCTATTTAAAAGCCTCTAACAGCTCCCAATATCTTTTAGGATACATTGTCAAACTGGCACATTTAGGAATGCCCATTGTGAATTCAGGCTCTCCTCCTAACACATACTACTAAAGTAGCCTGAGCAGTACGAGGCTAAGGCCCCAGCAACCAAAATCCATTCCAGTCCTGTCTCAAGATTTTCCCCCCTTCCCCGTGTCCGGCACAGTGCCACAAAGCTAAATCCCAGCCCTACTACTCATTCTCTATAACATTATTCGAATGACCTTTCCAACATACAAATTCAATCACACAGCTACACATCAATGGAAATTAGCATCGTTCCAGTTAGCACAGTTCAACAGTAGCAATGCCATACACACAATATAACAAAAGATCTCTCAGATTACGTCCATTAAAAACGAAGGACTTTTAAGTTTTTCTTAAATGTCTTTTAAAATGCATTGGTAAAGCAAGTTCATAAGGAATATAATAATGTATCTTAAAACTTCAGCTTTAGCCAGGTGTGGTGGAACACACCTGTAATCTCAGCACCCTGGGAGGCCACAGCAGGATGACAAGTTTAAATCCCAGCTGAGATCTTGTCTCAAACTAAAAAACAAAGAAGGGTTAAGGATGTAGCTCAGGGAGAAGGCCTTTGGTTCAATCCCCAGTAAAACAAACCAACCTGAGCTTTAGTTTTTTTAGAAAATCTACCCGGCCGGCGTGGTGACACACACCTGTAATCTCAGCACTCTGGAGACCGAGGCAGGAGAATTACTGCAAGTTTGAGGCCAGCCTGGGCTACATAGTGAGTTGAAGGCCAGCCTGGAATACACAGTGAGACCCTGTCTCATTCCCACCTCTCCTCCAAATTTACACTACTTTGTATTACTTCCACCTTTTACAATACTAACAACTACTGGCTAGAAGTAGTTCATACAACCACGTCTGAGCCATCATCACTATGCTTTTAATGGCACTATCCATGCCAGAGAGACACCACAAGCAGATTCTCTCTGGTTCACCCACCCAAGGATACACCCAGGCATTTGTCTTTTTAAGAAGCCTCACAAACTTGCTAATATACTGCCCAGATTGTCCAATACCACGTTAGGAAACATTGCTGTGGAAAAGTGACAAACTCCAAAAATAATAGTATTGTTTTATCCACTAAAGTAAAAGTCTGCAAACCTTAACATGGGCCAAACCTAATCCTACAGCCTGATTTTCATTCTGTCCACATTATTAAGAATGACTGCTACATTTTTAAGGAGTTGAAAAAAAAAAAAAAAAAAAAAAAAAAAAAAAAAAAAAAAAAAAAAAACACAAAAAAAAAAAAC